TACACACACACACACACACACACACACACACACACACACACACACACACACACACACACACAGGTATTTTTATTAGCCCTGTGCACCAGGTTAGAACAGCTTTAGTTCATCAGGAACTGAAATTAGATGATTATTAGAAAATGTCCCAAAAAGTTATTTTGGACAAAATAAGATATTTAAAACCAGACACAGAAATGTATCATCAAATAAACTACCAATGACTAAAAATGGTGTATATTTTGTTAACTTGAGGTATATTATGAGTTTGTGGAGGGTTACATTAATTAGTTTCCTGTCATTAATTAGTTGCAGGTGTTTTAGTTGCAGTGATTACACCGGCTGATGTGTGACACACTGACCGTGAAGAAGAGGAGACTCCCGGCTGTCTCCGCCACACAGTCCGGGTCCGAACCCCCGCTCGGATCCAGCAGAACCGGGTCACACTGCTGCAGCACTCTGGTAAACACAAACAGTTAGCTTCACGTTTTTACGCTTCAGTTTGAGCAGAAAAACAAAGGTTAGTTTAGAAACTTTAAATCCTCTCAGACTCTTTAAACTAACGCTGTAATTAAATAAAACAAATGTGTGATAAAAATACATTAAAGTTGCACATTTTAAAACAAACGTACGATCGAATGTCCGCCATTTTACTTTCAAATCTCCGCGCTGCTGGATGCATTTTGATTGGTTGCTGGGTCCACGCGTCATTTTACGTTGATCCAATCAGACATAACGTAAAAAAAGATCAACCAATCAGCGTTAGCTGAATCCAGAAAACAAATTCTCATCTGATGGTTGGAAAATCTCAAATAAGCACATTAAAATAATAAATCCTCAATTTTATATTTATAAAAAAACGTCTTCATAAAATAAGAACTACGTTGTTTCATCAGCTTATTTTCTTTAAATCTACAGATAAATATCTCCACTCCCTCAGTTTACAAGAATTAAAATATAAAAATGAAACAAGAGGACTGAAACCCATCAAACACGATTATTATACTGGAAATAATAATAAAATAACAGAAAATCACCAATAAAAGGCGGAGCTCCGCTGAGGTCACGTGATCCGTGTTGCCGCTGCAGCCCTGAGGCTAACGGAGCGGGCTAGCAGAGATAACGGGAGCACGGAGGAGCCGCTGGGCCGGAGCTGGGCCCCGTTAAACCACCGACAAACACCTGGGAGGATGAGCTAAGCGGCGGGGAGGCGCTGAGGGTCACAGGTATGAGCCCCCCCTCACCTGGCTGTGTCACAGCAGGTGATGCTAGCGGCTAACAGGCGGAGCTAACGGCTGTCCGCAGGGATGAGCAGCGGGTCCCGATGAGCTACCTGTCCTGTCCTCTGTGTGTGTTTGTGTGTCCGGACAGGTGTTCATAGTGACAGGTAACACACCTGGAGAAGAACCCGGGTCTTGTTCGAGCGTCCTGCAGAGTTAGGCCGGTTAGCATCGAGCTAACGGAGCTAGCCCGTCCGTTAGTGGTCTGCACGGTCACAGAATCACTTGTTTTTCTAAAAGGGACAAAATGACAGGATGTGGCCCAAAGACACGGTTCTGACCTGTTTGTGGGCTCGTCCTGGTCTATGAAGTCCCAGTCCTGGATCAATGACCCGGTTTAAAATGTATTTAGTAGTATTTTTTATTATTCGACCCCTCCTAACGGTTCCACGCAGACTATAAATCAGAATTGTGTGTTTTACTGACGCACACACTGCAGGTGTTACCTGCTGACTGGATCAGAACAAACTGAACCGGTTCTGATCTCAACATGGTTTGTTTCTCCKCCAGGGATCAGGAGTGTGTTGTACCTGCAGCAGGATGCCCAACCCTCCCCCTCCCCCTCCACCAGGGGGGCCTCCACCTCCCCCCACCTTCAGCCAGGTGAGGACCTTCATCATGTCTCTGCTCTCACCTGTTCTCCCCCCTGAGGCCTCCAGGAGCCCCTCTGCAGTGGCGGCACCAGAAAATTATGAGGGGGGCAAAAGSGGGTCTTGACTGTTTATAAGGAGGTCCAATAAAACGACAACAAATAATATTATTATAGATTAGGGCTGGGCGATACGAGGGAAATCTTTAATCCCGATATTTTTTGGCTATATGACAATATATAATATATATCACAAAACCTCCAAAATTGATTAAAAAATATTAAAAATTGATCCAAAAATTTTGAAAACTGAATCTGAACAAATTTAAATGTTTTATTTTAGCCATCAGTTGCACATAAGTTTTTTACAAACAATAGGCACTTTGATAAATGCGCTGCCTGATCCCGGTCAGGTTTTTGTGATTTTTATTTTTTTCACTTGTTTTCACACTTAGCCTCTCTTTAGCATTTCATAATCTAGTTTTATCAGTTGGTTTTCTGCTTTGGTTTGAAAATTTGTTGTGAAATTGTGACGCACTCTGTGTACGGAGCTCCGCACTTTTTTTATTTGTTATAATGTAAGTCAGTGGAGCACTTGCTTCCTAATGTTCAGGCTTTAAAGACCTCTAAAGCCTTAATGAGAGGACTGATTTAAAAACTGTAGTTTTGCAGTCTCTACATAGAGCCGTACGAGTATAAAAAGGAAAATCAGTTCTAAAATAAGTTTGAAAATTTTATCAAAGCCCCTACAAATGGAATTACTGCCACTGTCTTTTTGTTGTCTACACTCTAGATCATAAATAAACTCAAAAATAAACGAACCACAGCAGCAAAAAGTACTGTTTGTACTGCTGCTTCTTCACCAGGTCGTCATTGTAACAGAACTGGTTCTCAACTGACTTACCTGTTAAAATAAAGGTTATATATATATAT